AGAACTTCTCAAACGGTGCGTCCGGGGTGGGGGGGCCGGGGACAGGGGGTGCCCCCAGCACCCTGTTGCTGGCAGCTGAGAGCTGGAGCGTCTGATGTGCCCTGGCTGCCCAGGGCACAGGGGCTGAACCAAACCGGCCTCACAGGTGCTGGGGAGTGGGACACACCCCTGGGTGCATCATGGACCCCCCCCCCAGCCCCGTGCTCAGCTCTCCTTCCCCCCCCACCTCACAGGGCCTCCAACCAGCCCCTCCACCACCTCCATGGGCTCCCAGAAATCCACGGAGAGCATCACTGGCTCCAGGTGAAGCTGCGGGATGGGGGGGCGGGGGGATGCGAGAGCCCAGAAAATGGCACGTTGAGAGGAGAGGGGGACAGTGACACCTTTTGGTGTAAAGGCGGGGGGTGGGGGTGTGTGTTTGGTGTTCTAGCCCCTTCCCTGCAGCCGGCTGGGGTCCAGCTGCCCTTTGGGAATTGCCCCCCACGCCCCATTAAGGCACCCGTTGGCCCCACAGGTTCAGCCTGAGCAGGCGCAGGGGGCCCAGCCTGGTGCTGCGCCCGCAGTGCCTCAGCCCGGAAAGCGAGCGCTCTGGCACCCACGCTAGCCACGACTACCTCCCACTGGTAAGGACCCCGTCCCGTCCCACTCGGGGAGCGGGGCGGGGGGCGAGCAGGCACCTTCCCCGCTGGGCTGCAGCCGAGCGCCCAGGCGATGCCCGGCAGCGGCACCCAGCTGAGGATGCAAACCCGATGCTCAGCCCTTGAATGGCTCCGGGGGGGGCCTTTGCTGGTGCTTTTTTGGGGGGGTGGGTGCATCCCCAGGAACACTCCCGCAGCCTGGTCTGCACCCCTGCCTGCCTCCCCCTTGCAGGTGCAGCTGCAGCAAGCCTGGGGGCCGTTCCAGCTCACCGAGAGCTTCTCCGAAGTGGTGCAGATCCCCCTGGACCGCCTGCGCCGGGCCTCCCCCTACGCCTCCCACCGAGCCAGCCTCAGCCCCGTGTCGCCGGGGGCCAGGAGCAGCCCCGAGGCAGGGCCTGGCGGCGAGGAGGGCGAGGAGCCCGGCTCGCCCCCATCCCGCAGCACTTGCTCCGAGGTGCCCAGCGTGGCCGTCTGGGCGCAGGCGGACAGCGGGCACGGCTCCGAGTCTGACACCGGCCCCCACTCGGCTGCCCCCTCCGAGGCCGGCGTGAGCTGGCAGGACGCGGGGCCGGAGGACCTGGAGAGTGCCAGCTGGGCCACAGCCGTGGCCTTGGCGTGGCTGGAGCATCGCTGCGCCGGCTTCTTCGAGGAGTGGGAGCTGGTGGCGGCCAAGGCGGACGCGTGGCTGCAGGCGCAGCGGCTGCCCGAGGGGGTGGACGTGGGCTGCCTCAAAGGGGCGGCCAGGCACTTGTTCCTGCTGCTGCGTCACTGGGACGAGAACATCAAGCTGAACATGCTGTGCTACAACCCCAACAACGTCTGACGGCCGCCGGAGGGGCCAATAAAGATGCCTGGCTCCGCACTGCCTGCACCGCTGTCTCTGTTACGGGCAGGGAGCCGTCAGCTCGTTCAGGCCATGCTGGGGCTCACCAGAGCCCTGGGGGTTGGGTGTTAGCTCCTTCCCAACCATCTCCCGTGGGAGGGAGCAGACAGGGGACTAGGCAAAGCTGTGCTGGAAGGATCCCTGGGCTGCATCAAGGTGATTCAAACCTTGAGGCAAAGCAATTTTGCAGATCCTCTGGCTTAACCTCACCCGGGAGGCTGCTCCCCTGCCCCGGGCAGCACTCTCCCAGGGCTGGGAAGGGAGCTCCCACGGCCCGGGGTGGCTGCTCTGCCTCCCCGCTGGTGGGGCAGGCCGAGGCACGGCCATCCTGACACCATCACGGCACGAGGACGCTGTGGCCGGAGAAGAGCACACAAAGCCCCCTTTATTGGGGAAGTCCTGCCTGTTGGGGGTCCCCACGCTGTCCCCTTTACGCAGTTCCAGGGCTCGCAGCCCTCCTGGGATGGCTGAGGGCAGCCTGGGAGCCAGGTTGGGAAAGAACGGGCAGAAGGGGCAGTCCCAGAGGCCAGTTCCCATCCTCCGGCCGGCCACGTTCTCACTGGGCCTTCTTGGAGATGGGTGCGGGCCTCCTGCTTGGCTGGGGGGTGTGAGGTGCTGGCGGAGGGGCTGTGCCGTGCCAGAGCTGGAGCAGGACAAGTCCGTGGCAGATGTGGAGGGAGAGGGAGCTGCAGACCGTGGAGGGGTAGGTGTTCCAGCAGAGCTCAATCACTCCCAGCAGCAGCACCCTGCAGGGGGGGGAAAGCTGGGGGTCAGCGTGGCAGAGGGACATGGCAGCCCCCGTCCCTCCCAGCAGACGGGTGGTCCCCCCTCCCTGGCAGCACGTACTTGGGCATGTGGGCGAGCTTGGCGGTAGGAGTGCACCAGAGCAGGTAGGGCAGCGTGTGGAAATACCAGACGTAGAACTGGTAGTGCAGGGAGCGGCTGCAGCAAACGCCCAGGAAGTTGGAGGAGAAGAGGACGAAGATGATCTGTGCGCTGGCGTTAAGGGAACAAAGGCAGGAGGCTGGAGATGCGATCCCCAGCCGTACAACAGCTCCTTTCCCCCAGGACAGGATTGTCCTGACCGCACTGCAGAACCGGGAGCCTGCGAATGCCAAGCCCGTGGTCGGCCCTGCACTGCTTTCCTCCCCTCTCCTTGCTACCCACCCTGCCAAAAGGATATTGTTGACAGTCAAGGGAGGGGATGAGTGTTTCCTTTCGGCAGGATCCTTCAGCAGAGCCAGGATGCTCTCTTTGGACCTGGGAGGGGAGGCACAAACATCAATCTCAGCTGCTCAAAGACTTTCCCACCCTGACCTTCCCCTGTGAGCCATGATGCCTGGGCAGCACGCCCCCCTAAAGAGAACAATAACTTCCCCACGCTCCTTCCTGCAACCCCAGAACTGCAGCGCTGTGAGGGCAGGGGAGTTGTGGACCTGTATCCTGCACCACCGGGGCTGATGGGGACCAGCACCCGTGGGGAACCCCAGGTCTCACCTGTGCCACCGGTGCAGCGCAAAGAGCCCCAGGCCAGCCAGGTGAGCCAGGAGCAGCGTGGCGTGGAAAGCCCGATTCTGGAAAACCTCTTCTGGGAGGAAGCGCCAGTTCACTGTCCATCTGAACTGGAACTGGCGGCCCAGGTCAAAAGAGCGAGTCAGGTACCCCACGGGGTTCACCAGCAGGAAGGGCAGCCCCAGAACCACCTGCCAGAGACACACCAGCACCCTCATAGCAGCAGTGAGCCTGGTCTCCGCCACCCTTGCCACCTCCCCAGAACCCCAGCACCACGTGGGGGGACAGGGACGGTCTGCCAAAGATGGGAGCCGGTGAATTACATTATTTATTAACCACCAGCTTGCGGTGTGCGGCCAACTCAGGTGCTGGTGCCACTGTATATCCACCCAGCAGCCTCCAGTCCCCAGGACAGCCAGGCAGGATGCTGCGATGCAGGCACGGCAGCGCTGCCGCTGGGGCTGCCAGCCTGGCCCCGTAGCCGACGCGAGGAGGGACCCACCTGGAGCAGGGCACAGATGCAGAGTTTGGGGATACAGCCCAGGAGACCGAACCGTTGGAGGAGGAGGAAGAGAAGTCCAGGCGCGAAGAGAAGGATGTTCATCTTCACCGACACAGCCAGGCTGAACGGGGAGCTGCGTTACTGCCGCGGCCACCCTCACGGGTGCCCAGGCAGCCCCTTCCCTGCCCCCAGACCCTCACCTGAAGAACAGGCAGCCCCAGGACCAGCGCTCCTCCAGGAAGAGGTTGATGGCGAGGAAGAGGATGGCCATAGCGACGGGGTCATTGAAGAGCCGCAGGACAAAGATGGAGTGGATGCGGTAGGAGGCACAGCACATGAAGAAGAAAACATACGGGGGGACCTTGCAGGGGATGGAGAGACACGAGGGCAGTCAGCAGCCTGTCCTGGACCACCAGCTTGCCGCTGAGCCCCTCCCAACCTCAGCCCCCCAACCCCAACCTCCTGCCCAGCCCGTTTTGCCCAGACGAGGACTGATCAGAGCTGGAGAGGCCCCTGGGCTACCTTGTTGGTTCGGCAGTAGATGCGGAAGACGAGAAGGAGGTTGAGGAGGTAGAGGCCGGCGAAGAGGTACTGCGCCAGGCGGATGTTGGTGCCGCGGCCCGTGGCGTAGTACAGCCCCAGGAAGATGTAGACGAAGCCGGCAGGGTAGCTGCGGAGAAGACGGGATTTGAGGGGCCAGGCTTGCCCCTCTGGGACCCCCCGGTTGCGGGGAAGCTCAGCCGCCCCCATCACTCACACCAGCGGCCCCGTGTCGCCCTTCAGGCGGGTGTAGTCGAGGGTCCCGTTGGCAAACCCCTCCACCTCCTCCATGTAGGCCTTCCAGTCGATCTCGGTGTCTGCGGGGACGGCCGGGGGTCAGGGGGGCACCGTGGGGAAGGCCCCCCCAAATCCACACCCCCACGGCGCTGCCCTGCGCCCCCCCCCCCCCCTCCACGACTCGCTGTCAGCCGAGGCTCCGCGACCCCATCCAGGACCCCCAGCTCGCCCCTATCCCCCCCCCCCCCCCCCCGGGGGATGCTGCCACCCACATAGGGCGGGGACAGCCCCCCCTCTCCCTCGCTGCTCCCGGGGGACCCCCCCCCCCCAGCCCGGGGACGAGCTATCACTGCCCGAAGGACACCCACCCACCGCCGCACCCCCCATCTCCGCCACCCCCCCGCCCCCGGCACTCACAGGGGACCCTACGGATGACCCAGAGGTTGACCCCCCCCTCGGCCAGGCAGAGGCAGGCGGCCACCAGCGGGGTGTAACTGGGCTCCAGCACCACCGCCCGCCGCTCCCGCCAGGCCCGCCGCAGCACCACCGCCGCCCCCCGCCCCGCCGCCATGGCCGCCCCGCCGGTTCTCCTCCTCCTCCTCGTTCCGTTCCGTGTTCCCGGCCGGAACGCTTAGTTCGGTGCAAACCGGCGGGGCCGGAAGCTGCACGTGGCTGGGGGGGGGGGGGGGCGCGGCACGTGGCGCCCGGCACCCGCTATGGAGCAGCGGCGGCGCGCGCCCGCCGCCAACCGCCGGTACCGGCAGCGCCGCTTCTGGGACGCGCTGTACCGGCGGGAGGGCGCCGAGCCCCGCGAGTGGCTGGGGGGGTTGTCCCGCTTCCTCCCGCAGCTGCAGCCCGAGCTGCGCCCCGGTGACCGGATCCTCGTCCTCGGTACGTGGCCCGGGTGTGGGGGTGTGTGTGTGTGTGTCTCGCACGGTGGGGTGCCGGTACTGGGGGGGGGGGGGCGGGGGGTGTCCCGGGCCACCGCCCCGCCATCCCACCCGCGGGCTATTTCGCCGTGGCCCAGTAGCTTCACCCCCACCCCCGGGGCACCGGGATTAGGCGGGTGTCATCACCGATCCCGTTAGCGGATCAGCCGCCGCGCCGGCTGCGCTTCATAGCTCCCGAATCCGCCCCACCCCCCACCGGGATCCCCCCGCACCCCCCCGGGGGGTCGGTTGAGCCCCGGTGGAGCGGCCAAGGGAAGGGAAGGGGCGTCTCCCCCACCGCACCGGGGCGGGGGGGGGGGGGGGGGGGCCCGTGTCCTGGCACCGCGGTGATCCCCTGAGACAGGCGTCCGTCTGTCCGTCCGTCCCGGTTAAGCCCCTCCAGGCGCCGCTTGCCACGGGCCCCTTTCCCCACTGCCGGATTTCGGGGCGGGGGGGGGCACAGCCGGCTCCTGCCCCACGGCACTGGGGGTGCGGGGGGGGGGGGGGGTTGAGGACTCGGGGGGATGCCTCCAGCATCACCCGGGCGTCCCACCCAGGGGTGGGGGCACCCACCTTACAGGGGGCTGCCCTCAACCCTGCGGGGCCGGGACCCCACGGCCCCCGCCTCGCAGAAAGCGGTTAACAATTAGCCGGTGGGGTGCTTAATTAAAAATTACCCAGCCGCTCGCTAACGAGCAGCAAGTTGTTCCCTCTTCGGCTGCCCCAGCCCACCCGCTCCCTTCCCTGGGCCTGAGGGAACCGGGTTGGGGTGCAGGCAGCTCCCCCCCCACCCCGTCCTGCTGCACCCACCCTGGGCACCCCGAGCACCCCAAACTGAAGGCGTGCCCCCCCGCCTCAGGCTGCGGCAACAGCGCCCTGAGCCACGACCTGCACCGGCTGGGCTACACCGACATCACCAGCGTCGACTTCTCCCCCGCCTGCATCGCGGCCATGCGCGCCCGCTACGCCCGCTGCCCCGCCCTGCGCTGGGCCGTCATGGACGTCCGCGCCCTCGCCTTCCCCGACGCCGCCTTCGACGTCGTGCTGGAGAAGGGCACCCTCGACGTCCTGATGGCCGAGGAGACCGACCCCTGGCACGTCTCGCCTCAGGCGGCCGCCGAGATGCACCGGGCGCTGGCGGAGGTATGACGCCCCACGCACACACCCCCCCACCCCCCAGCCACACCGGGAGTTGGAAGGGGAGGGAAGGTTGACCCCCAGCCCCCCCCCCATCCCCGTTTGGGGTGGGTGAAGGGGCGGAATGTTCCCTCGGGGTGCCCCGGCCGTGCCTCTCTCTGCTACCCAGCAGAGGGGCACCCAGCACCCTAGGGGATGAGAGACACCCCCCCCCCCCCCCAAATCTCCCACCCCATCACCTTCTCCCCAAGGCGCTGGATGGAGCGGGGTGTGTCTCTGGGTCCTGCTGCGGGGGGGGGCTGGGTGACTCCCCTCTTTATTTGCACCCTAAATCCAAAGGGAGTGGAGGTATAAACGGGCCCATCCTGGTGTGGGTGGCCGTAGGGGCAGCTCAGGGTGCCGGGAGGGGACCTGGAGGGGTGGGGGGGACACACAGAGGTGGCCCTGAACACCCAGACCGAGGTGACGACCACAGGGGTGTGACAGGCTCTCGCCCCCACCCCGGTTTTGATTTCATTAGCCGGGGTCCCCATGGTCTGGTCCAGGGTTGCCATGGCAACCAGGGCCCTGGCGTTGCCATGGGGACGGGTGATGCCTCCAGGCCCCTATTAATTGGTGATGGCGAAGGCAAGGACCGGCTTGAACCTGCCTGGGTGCAGGCTGCGGGGGGGGGGGGGGGGGGGGGGGGGGGGCGGGTGTCACCGGTGTGGGTCCTGGAAGCTTCTCCCACCCTGTGGGAATAACTGTGAGGATAATTTATTGCTGCACCTGCCCAGCACCCATGGGTGCTGACACAGGGTGCTGGGGGGGTACTTGTGGCCATTTCCCCTCCACTCCAAGCCCAGGGAGGGGTGGGACCCCAGGGGCTGTCCCCACCATCCAAGCCCTGCCACCAGCACTGCTGCCTGTCCTTGTCATTTGGCCAAACAGTGAGGATTTAGTCTTTTTTTTTTTTTTTTTTTCCCCCCCCTTTTTAATCCCCTGCTCAATCCCTGCCCTCCCCCAGCATCGCTGGGCACCACCCATGGCCAGTCCCCACTGGCCTCACCCCCAGGGGGATTCGCTGGGTGTTCCCACCCGCTGCTGCTTTGCCGGTCCCTCTGCAGGGGTCAGGCTGTGGCTGGCACCCCCCCTTCTCGCCCCCACCCCGCAGTTTCATGGAGAGGGGGGCTCGGGGTTATCACCTCTGCCTTGCTCTCCCTGGAGGGGGGGACACAAGGACCCAAAAATCCACCCTGCCTGCGGGGATGTCCCAGGGGCACCCCCGTCCTATCGTTCTGGGGGCAGTGGAGGGAGGAGGCAGCCCCCCCGCGCCGGCTGGCGGATGGGAAGGTTTCCTGCGCCCGTCTCTAAGCAACGGCCATTAGTGCTCTATTAACGAGGGATGGGATGCGGGGATGCGGGATGCCTCGCTCAGCTCCAGACGGAGATCCCTGCCTCCTCCCAGCCCCGGGGACCCCCCCTGTGCCCATCAACTGGGAAGCTGAGGGGTCTTTCCAGGACAGATTGATCCAGCACTTTGCAGGAAGGGTGCTGAGCTGGGTGCTTTGGTGGTGGGGTGGTGGTGGTGGGGTGTCAGGGAAAGTAAGGGAAGGAATGCAGGGGCCTGCCTTCCCCTTTTCCTGGCCAAAACCACTAAGGTTTGGATCAAAAGCCACGGTGCAGCGGGACACACACACGCAGGCTGCCTGACCCCGCTCCATCCCTGGCCCCAGCCAGCGCTGAGCCGTGGAGCTTCCCAGCAGGATTAAACCAGAGCTTGGGAAACCCCCACCTTGGCCCCCAGCCCTCTCCCCTGCTGCAGTGGCTGTCTGCCCTTGCCGGGGGGGGGGGGAGGGGGATCTGGGGGTGTCCCCGTCTGGGGCTGGGTGCTGGTGGGGGGGGCTGGCCACCCGCCCGCCCCGGGCACTGTCTTTGCATGCTGAGCACGTGAGCACTGGCCGTAAAAGCCTTTTGACATTGGATAAAGCCAAGCAAGAAAATTGATGTTCTTTTCCATCCTGTTAGTGGGGGCTTAGTTCCAGCAGGGAGAAAATGGTGATTAAAAGGGTCGAGTCCTTTCCCATCCAAAGATCCCCCACCCCACCTCGGACATTGGGTGTTGGCGTGGGGGGGGGTGGGCACCCCACAGAGTGGTGGGCGGGATGGGTGGCCCGTGCTGTTCGGGGCAGGGGGGGAGGCCCTGTGTCCGGGAGGGTGAAGCTTTTCCCTGTGCCAGGGTTGGGTCCCCGTGCTGTCTGCTGTGGATGAGGGTGAAGAGTTTTGGGGTGCAGAGAGAGGTGGCGCGTGAGGACACCCCATCCCTCATTGCCACGGGGGTCTGTGGGTGGTCTGGGAGGCATGTCAGAACGGGGGTGGGTGTCTCAGGGGGGCAAGGTTAGGACAGAAGAATTGGGGGTGCGATGGGAGGGGGGAATCTTTGGCAGATGGTGATGGGGGGGGGGGGGTCCCTGGGGATGAGGCCATCCCTGCCAGAGGGATTGAACCTTACTGTGTGTCTTCCCCCCCCGCCCATCCTGGGGGTTCTCCCGCCGCAGGTGAGCCGGGTGCTGCGCCCGGGGGGTTGCTTCATCTCCATCACCTTCGCCCAGCCCCACTTCCGCAAGCCCCACTACGCCCAGGAGGCCTTCGGGTGGTCGCTGCGCCACGCCGCCTGCGGGGACGGGGACCCCGGCGCCTTCCACTACTTCCTCTACGTCATGCGCAAGGGGCAGCCCCTGGACCCCCCCGACCTGGCCCTGGGGCGACGGCTGCACCAGCCCCCCCCCCCACCTGCCCCAACACCACCCCCCGCCCCCCCCAGATGACGATGAGGACTATCTCCTTGCCATTCAGCTGTGATGGTGGGGGGGGGAAGCTTCCCCCCACCCAATAAAGCCTTAAGGTGTTCCACCCTTGTGGGTGAGGGATGGGGAACCAGTGCATTCCCCCGCTCCCCAAAAGCTGCCTAGTGATGTGAGCAATGGGAGAAGGGGGGGGGGGTGGCTGGGCCTCCTCCCGGGGGGCAGCAGGATGCTCTGGGGAGCGGGCGATGCTGTGCCCCCCTCCCTCGCCCGGCTGGAGAGAGGCCAGGGCTCCGGGCTTTGTGGCTGGTAATGAAACCAAATCGGGTTTAATTCCACCCATCCATCTTGTGAGGAGCAGCTCCCTGCCCCCCCTCCCCGCCCCAGCACAGGCAGCTGGGCTGGGGGCAGAATGGGGGGTGCTGGCACTGGGTGTGGGGAGTAGGATTGGGGGTGCTGCCCCCCCCGGCCACATCCTGCACCAGGACCCTTGGACCAGACTCTTCAGCCGTGGGGGTGTGCAAGGGCACCGTGTCCTTGTCACAACACCCCCCCCCAGCCCAAGCTTGGCAGCGGGGAGTCCAGGCTGGGACGTGCCAGCGTGGGGCTGGGGACGCCGTGGGGCACGTGTGTGGGCAGGGTGACACGTCTGCCCCTGTGTGTGTGTGTCCCAGCCCCGCTCCTGGCCACGGTGACAACCCCGGCGTGCCGCACAGGCCTGGCCCGTGTCTGCCTGTGCCTGGGGCCGGTGGCACGGTGACACGCGTGTGCCAGAGCTGGTGACACGCGTGTGCCAGAGCTGGTGACATGCGTGTGCCAGAGCTGGTGACAGGCATGTCACCGTGTGCCGGTGGGGCCGGCTGCGCCAGGGTGCCGGAGTGGCAGCCGCATGGGTGGCACCAGGGGTCTCCTCAGGGGCTGTTTGGGCACCAAACCCCCCCCCCCCACCTCGGGTGGGTGACGCCAGGGGACACGGAGAGGACCCCTCCTCAGAGAGACGGCGGTAACGTACTGAAAAGGCACGAGCCACCACGCTGCTATTTCTGACAAACGGCGTAAGTGGGTCAGCCGGTGGCTCCCCCCGCGCCAGGAGCTGGCGAAGGACTCCGGGGTCGGGCCCCCCCACCACCACCACACCACCCCATCCTGCGGGCACCCCGAAAACCGCCGGCGCCTGGGAGGGACAGAAAGGAGCGGGCAGCTGCCGGCCTCGCCTTGATACATGAATGTATTTTATTCATTGCATTTTGTTCACCAGTACAGTGAAAAATGGCATTTAAATTTACAATGGATCATTTGTAGAACATCATGACACAAGTATCTTTTTTTTTTTCTTTTTTCTTTTTTTTTTGTGTTTTTTTTTTTTTTTCGGTTTTGTTTTTTGTTTGGTATTTTTTGTTGTGTTTTTTTTCTTTTTTTGCGTCGTCGTCTCCATAAATGCCACTCGTAGGTTATTGAAAAAGATGACGAGTTTCTCATGCACATCAGACCCCCCCGAGAAGCTTCTTAAAAAATAAAATTAAATTAAAGTACAAAATTAAAAACAACAACTCAGGCCGGTCCCTGCCCTCCCCACTCCCCCCCCGGCCCCACCACCCCCGAGCAAGGGGCAGCACAGGGACCCCCTGGCACCCGCAGCCGGCCCCGGTGGGCTCAGCCCCGGTGGGCTCAGCCCCGGTGGGCTCGGCCCCGGTGCTGCCGGGAGGCGACTGCGGCGGCCGATGGTGCTGCCAAAATCCCCTCCGGCCGGTCCCGCTGCCGGTGGGGGGGGGGGGGGGGGGGTCAGGCCGGGGGTCCCCGCTCCCCTCCCCGCACCTTTGGCTTTCCTCACGCTCCCTCCATCACTCTCACCCCCCCCTTTATTTTTTTCCCCCTCGTTTTTTTCTTTTTTTGTCTTTTTTTTTCTTATGGAAAAAAATATGAACCATTTTTTTTTTTTTGTTTTGTTTTGTTTGTTTGTTTTCCCGATGCGGTTACTTCGACATCTCAACGTCAGCAGATCGTTTTTAACAAAGATTCGGATATAAAAATACAAATATGAGGAGTTTCTGTTTAAAAAGAAGCGTGCCGGAGTGGTGGGGCTGACCCTCGGCCCCAGGACCGGGCGCTCGGGCCACCAAGCTCATGCAAAAAACGATGGAGCAAAAAATGTCTCTGGGCAGCAGCGCTCCCCCCCCCCCCCGCTCGTGGGGCCCGATCCGCCTCGCCATTCGGGGACACCCCCCCCACCAAGGAGGATGGGGGGGGGGGGGGGGGGATGCGCCGCAGAGCGGGGGGCTTCCCCCCCCTCCCTCCAAGGGGGAGAGGGGGGGTCTTTGCCCAGCGTGGTGGGGAGGGGGGGGGCTCGGCGGGTTGTCCCAGCCCCGGGGGAGGCGGAGGGGTAAAGTGCATGGCTCGGGGGGGGGGGGGGGGGTGGGGGTGGGCGCGGAGCCTTTCCCCCCCCCCCTCCCACCTCCCTCCCCCCGGGCTGGGGTAGGGGGGGGCACGGGCTTGGCCCCCCCCCCCATCTCCTCGTCGGCGGTCCAGCCAGCATGCAGGGCCGGGCGGGCTGGGAGCGGGGCTCGGGCTGCGGGTCCTGGCGGCGGGTCCCGGCTCACACCCCCGGCGGCGACTTCTCCGTCATGCCCTTGAGCACCTCGTCTATCCGGTCATCCTCGATCACCACTGCGGGGGGGGGGGGGGGGGGTTGGAGGGAGGGGGGGGGACGACGACGGGCGTGTGGGCGAAGGGATGCAAACAGCCTCTGCGCCCCCCCCCCCCAAAAAAAAAATCCACCCCTCGGTTCTCACCCCACTCGCCACCCCAAGAGGGCTCCAGATGTGCCCGCCCTCCCCCCCCCCTCCAGATGCTGGGGAGCAGGGTGAAGGGGGTTGAGGTGGGTGCGATGAGGATGGGGAGGGGGAGGTGGTGTCCGTGCGTCTGTTTCCCCCTCCCCGTTCGGCTTGGGTAGGGGCAGCACCACCCCCCCCCCCTGCAGCCAGCCAGCCGCCTCTGGATGGGTGGTTTGGGAAGGTGGGGGCAAGAATAGACCAGGAAGGACCCCCCCTCCTCTCTGCGGCAGGCGCTGATGAGAGCAACAGGACTGGAATGGGTAATGACCCAGCGGGGGGGGGGGGGGCACCGCCAGCTCGGCGGGGGTGGCAGCCAGACCCCTGTCAGCATCACCCGCTGCGCAGGACACCCCCCCTGTCCCCCCCCCCCGCCATCGGTATCACTGTGGGGAGAGCCGGCTAGCCCCCCCACCAGCATGGCAGGCTGCACAGACCCCCCCCACCATCGGCATCGCCACGGGGGACTGGACAGCACCCCCCCAGATCAACATCCCCAGTGGGAAGCTGGACAGACACCCCCCCCCCCCACCAGCATCAGGGGGCTCCACAGACACCCCACCCCCATCACCTCACCCTCGGGGGTGGAGGACAGACAACCCCCCCACCCCCAAAAACACTACCAGGGTGGTCAGCACCCCCCCTCCATCACCACCCTGGGGGTGGATTGTCCAGAGCTGCCCCCCCCCCCTCCATCACCAGCATCACTGGGAGAGCAGCCAGACCCCCCCAACACCACTGAGGGAGAACTGGCCCCCCATAACCTCCGGGGGGGTCTGCTAGACCCAGCCACCTCCACCGCAAAGGGGGGCGGGTGGACCAGGCAGCAGCTCATCCCCCTCTTCAGGGTGGGGTGTATTTTTGGAGGGGGGGTGAGGGTGAGGGGAGGGGTGAGGTCTCTGTTCCCCACACTTTTGCCCCTGCAGCTGCAGGAGGGATGTTTGCTTAGGAAGGTCCCCCAGGCAGGTGGGGTGGGGGCTGTAGGGAAGGTGGGGGCCATTCTCAGTTGTCCCCAAATGCATCAGGGAGCATCGATGGTGACAGATTGGGATGCGGGGGGGGGGGACACACACACATTTATTTGGATTCTGATGGAAGCAGGGGAGCTGTTGATGGGGGTCTCTGCGTCAGGCAGTAAAGCGGGGGGGCAGGGAGGGGCAGGGGACACACAGGTTCATGGAATCCCGGGGGGACAGTAAATGGGGGGGGGGGGGGGGCGTGTGACGGGAGGGATGTTTGTTGATCAGCATCACCAGCGGCTGCTGATGGGGGTCTCTGCGGCAGGCAGAAACATGGAGAGGTTCATGGGGCTGGGGGGGGGAGGGGGGGGGGGTCTGTTCCTGGTGATGCTGGGGGGGCTTGTTTATAGGAAATGGGAGGCGGTGGCAGCCCGAGGGGATGTGGGGGCAATCCCAGGGGTGCTGAGGAGCAGTTCCGGGGGGTCCTGGGGGCACTCGTGGAGGTGCCGGGGGGCAGCCCCAGGGATGCTTGGGGATAGTCCCAGGGGCAGCCCCAGGGATGCTGCAGGGTAGTCCCGGGGGGAGCCCCAGGCTGCGGGGGATGTGGGGCAGCACTGGGGGGTGGGGGGGCAGCGCTGCTGTCTGAAGCTGGGAACAAGGAGGGCGGGGGGGGGCTGTGGCTTTGGGATAGGCTGGGTGCCAGTTGCAGGGCTGGGGATCCCAGGGATGCCAGGGGGACAGTGCCAGGGGGGATGTGGGGCAGAGCTGGAGATTCGGGGGATGCTGGGGGGAGTGCTGGGGATGCTGGGGGGGGGTGTGTGTGTGTGTGTGGAAGTGCTGGGGGGCAGTGCTGAGGATGCGAGGCAGAGCTGGGTGTCCCAGGGGTGCTGCGGGGCAGTGCTGGGGGTATAAGAGCCGGTGCCGGGGGTAGCGGGGATGCTGTGGGGCAGAGCCGCAGGTGCAACGGCAGAGCCGGGAGTCCCGGGGATGCTGCAGGGCAGATCTGGGGGGTGCCGTGGGGCAGAGCCGGGGATGCAAAGGCGGAATCGGGGATCGCGGGGATGCTGTGGGGCAGCGCTGGGGATGCAAGAACCAGTGCCGGGGATGCCCGTGGGGCAGCGCCGGGGATGCTGCAGGGCAAGATCCGGGGGTCCCGGGGCAGAGCCGGATGCAAGGACGGATCCGGGGATGCCCGTGGGGCAGCGCCGGGGGATGCAAGAGCCGGTGTCAGGGATGCCGGGGGATGCTGCAGGGCAGCTGCGGCGCGGGGGGGGGGGGGGGGGGGGTCCCGGGGATGCCCACAGGGCAGCGCCGGGGGTGCCGTGGGGCTGAGGCGGGGGTCGGGGCGGGGGGGGGGGGGGGTGTCGGGCGGTACCTCTCTTGGCGCGGCCGATCTGTCCCAGCTTGGGGGGCCGCTTGCCCTGGTTGCCCCCGAAGAAGGCGTTGGTGTCCTGGAGGCGGCAGCTGAAGGGCAGCTCCCCCGCCTCGGGCTCGGCGCCGTAGCGGCCCACCTTGTCCTCGCCGTAGGGCAGCACCTGCGACATGGCGGGGGCCGAGCGGGCCGAGCCGCGCCGCGCCGAGCCGGGAGCCGGTCTGCGGCGGCGGCGGCGGCGGCGGGGAGGAAACCCGGGCGGAAGGATGAAGTCATGCATCCGGGGGGAGCGGGGACCCCCCCGGCGGGGGGCGGCTCCGGAGCGCCGCGGCCCGGCACGGCACGGCCGGGACAGGGATGGGGGGGACCCCCCCACACCCCCCGCCGCGCCTTGGCGGTTTGTGCCCGGTGCCCGTCCAGCTGGAATTGGGGGGGGGGGAGCTTGTCTTCAGCCCCTGCCTCGTCCCCGGTGTAGGATGGTCTCCCGCCCGGCACAGCTTTGCCGGGGAGGTCACGGCAACTCGAGGGTGCCCCATAAAACACGGGGTGCCCCTATGGAGCGGGGAGCCCTTGACGCAGGCAAGTACCCTCAGGTCAGACAGCCGAGGACCACCAGGCACAGCCGCGCCCTCCCCCAGCGCACCGAGGTGATGTCGAACAGAGCCCCCCCCCCCCCCCACCTCCCGCTCTGGTCCCCCAGCCCCCCCCGAGCATCCCCCTGCTCAGCTCCCAGCCTCCTGCAGCCCCCAAGAGCCCCCTGCTCAGCTCCCACCCCGGGTCTCCCTAGCCCCCTGCTTGTGCCTCTTGCCCAGCACCCACGCAGGCACCCCTTCCCCCACCTTCCTCAGTGTTGGGGTCCCCCCCTGGAACCACATCAGTCCTGCCCCTGCCCCTGCCAGTCCCCTTGGCCTCCCACATGTGGGTCCCTGCACATGCACCGTTTGTACACATGTGTCCCTTGCATGTATTTGCAGGACTGGGGGGGGGGGGGGAGGCACACGGGTGTGATTCTGCAGGTGCCTGTCAGTGTGGCCACGCGGGCGCTTTGCCCCAGGACATCCCATGGTTTGGGCCTTCATTGGGGGTTCTCTGAGGACAAGGGGAAAGGCCATTCCCCGTGGCGACCTGCCATGGGTCAGCGAGGGGAGACCTGTGAGAGTGGTCCCAGCAACCCCCCAGAACCCCGTTTGCATCCCTTTCGCACACTCCTGCCCCAGACCCACCCTGACTCTTTCCTCCTGTGTATTTTCCACTGCCGGGACAGTGATTGCACTAATTGGCATCAGTGGCCCTGAGTGACCTCACCTGGGACTCCCCCATCCCAGTCACCTGGGGCTGGGGGTTGCTATTTAAGCTCAGGCTGGGGCTGCTGCTTCTTGCCTGAGCTGTGGGTGCAGCCCAGGGGCCTGGACCTGGGGATGCGTAGTGGTAGGTTGGAGAGGATCAACCCATCACAGGGCACCCCTGTTCCTGCTGCTCCCTCGTGTCCAGGCCCCGCTGCTCGCGTGGGTGTGCTGGGTCGCAGCAAAGCCAGAGCCCTGCGTGGGAGCGGCACTTGCCAGCCCCGTGAGAATCTCCATCTAGGTGTCTCGAGGGGGTGAGAGTGGGGTTTTACCGTCAGCCCCACGGCCCATCTCTCTGTGCCAGTGTCTCCATGGCCTGAGATCCTGTTGGAAGGTGCTGCGGAAGAGCATCGGCGGGGCTGGTCCACGCGAGAGGGCAGGTACTTCTATTTTAGGAAGGCTCAACCATTCCTTTTCCTTTGTGCCTGGCTCTGTAGAACGCTGGTCCCCACTGTCCCTCCCAGAGCAGAGATGGGTAGGGACAGGGCAGCGGTGCCCACTCTCCTGGCAAGGCAGTGCCTTTATTCATGCCTTTGCTGAGGAACCAGCTTGAACTTTTTCATGTGACGGCTTCTGCTCTTGCAAAAAGCGCCCGGGAAAATAGGCAAGAGGCCCACGCTGAGATGTGGCCTGCTTTTCCCATCTCCAAGCCCACGTGCCGCTGCCCGTGGGTAGGGACAGGCAGGCCGTGGCACGCGCGGGGCTGGGGGTGAGCGAGAAGAGGAGCAGATGGGCTGTGTGGGATGTGAGCAGGGCTGGTGCTGCGCTCCGGGAGGGTTTCCAGCCTGGCAGGCTCCTGGGGAGAGGCTTGAGAGGGGTCACCCTGGGGATGGCCCCGCTTCCCCCCCACCTGTATCTGTACAGTGCCTTGAACCCAGGGGAAGCTGCTTGGCTTGGCTGTGGGGTGTGTGGGGGAGCTCTGTGGGACTGGCAGGGGTTTGGGGGTGTGGGAGGGACCCTCCACCCGGCCCAGGCAGGAGGAGGGCCGGCTTCGTGCCGGCACAGCTGAGCTGTAGGTGGGACAGGGCAGCACCGGAGCTCTGGGCACTGCATCTCCTTGGGACCCCCCTAGTCTCTGGCTCCTCAAGGGTGCTGCTGGTCATGTGTTCTGGGCGCGGGGGGGGAAGGTACCAGGGACCTGAATGTGGGTGGGTGGGCAGGAGGGGGACCCCACCCTCATCCCCTGCAGGTGCAGGTTGCATCCTCCATGCTGAGCGGGGCCGCACACCCTCCTTCCCCCGGCTCTCATCCCACCTTAGTTACCTGCCTTTTAGCAGCCACGCAATCTCCTTTCTCGCTTCCTTCGCAGCCTTTTGTCTGACACAAAGCCAGCTCCAGCGGGAAGAAAGGGCTGTGGGAGTGGGAAGCAGGCAGTTCTTCCTGCCCTGGCTCCTTCAAGCCGGGTCGCAGTAACGGAGCTGGGACACCTTGCAGGTGATGGAAGGGCTGGGGGCCAGCCATGCCCCCCCGGGGTGGATATGGGGCCGGGCAGGGGGCACACAGCCGGCTTCCCAGCCACAGTGGGGCTGGTGATGGAGATTGAGCTGCATCGCCTGGCCTCGGGAGATGCTCTGGGAGCCCCCCACCCTGCCCTGGTGCCTGCTGTGACCCAGCCCCACAGCTGGATGCTGTCCCTGAGCTCTGCACCCTTGGTGGGGATTCGGGTGCTGGCTCCAGGTGCTGTGGCGGAGGTGAAGGGTTTCCCTGCGATCACTGGTGCTTCAAGTGGTTTTACAGCGGAGAAACACCTTGGACGTGCGCAAGCGGATCGTGGTGGGACATATCCTACCCAGGCTCTGCAGGGACCCCCGGGCAGCGGGAGTTGAGCTGGGTGGGAGCACCTGGTGGCCCCTGAGACCTGGCAGGGATGGGGTCGGTGGCCTGGCAGGCAGCGGCTGGATGACCGGGGGCTCGGAGGAAGCAGGAGGCATCGGCCACCAGAGCCGGGGTTTTCTTCGCTGTAGGTCCAGGAGTCTGTCGGTGCCATCACCCAGGGCTGGGGGCTGTGGAGGCGTGCCTGGAGGCCAGCTCGGGTGCCTCCATCTGTGCTGCTCCCAGCCCTGCCAAGAAACGTGAAATGGCACTTCTGCTCCGTGGTGGTGGCAGCTGCGGCCCAGGGGGCCTCGCCGAGCTCCAGCTCCCTGCCGCCAGCATTGCCACCCGTGCCGAGCACCCGTCCCCAGCCCGGTGCAGGGGACTGGCGAAGGTCATCGACAAGGCCAGGGAGGGATGCGTCCATCCTTGGCTATTGCTGCTGGCTCTCAGGAGCCAAAGGTCAGGCGGCGATGGTGCTGTGCTGTGGTCGGGCAGCTCTGTCGCACCGGCGTTTTGGGGGGGAGCAGAGCCACACACCCCGGCTGGGTGCAGGCGGTGGGGATGGCCTTGCTGACCGATGGTTGTGGTGGCCCACCTCACTGTAGCGAGGAGATCTTGGGGGACAAGGGACAGGCACCCTGTGCTGTGGGTGAGCCCAGGGCAGGTGTGCAAGAGCAGCGTGTTTCTGGCCTTGTGCTGTCCCTGCAGCTGGAGGCCAAAAAGCCCTCCTGGGTGGGACAGCACCTTTCCCAGGGAGGAAGGGCTCCAGCCTTTGCAGGACAGCCGGGGGGCAGCCAGCCAGCAGGTTGTCACTAGTGAGAGGAGTCTGTCTCAGCGCACAGCCCGGTTTTGGGAAGGGGGGGGTGGCTCTGATTGTAAGTCGGGGCAGGTAGAAGGAGGGTGGCACTGTCCCTGTCCCTCGCACCGGCTGCCTGGGGCACAGCTGTGGTCCCAGCGATTCCAGGGCTGCAACTGAGAAGAGGGGGCACCCCTGGCACGCTGCCTGGGGCAGGGGTTTTATGGAGGGTCCCCTGCCCAGACCCAGGGTGGGGGGAGCAGGAGCCAGGGGGGAGGCTGACCCTGCTGTGTGGATGAACAGCCTTGCTGGGGTGTGAGGCTCCATCCTCGTCTGTCACCACATCTCTGGTCACCATGACAACAGACAGGGAGGCAGGCGGGAGTGGGCTGGCAGCCCTGAGGGGTGTGGGCCATGGGCATGGGCTGGCACCCACGAGGGACCCTGCGGTGGTGGTGTGTCACGGGTCCCTCTTGGCCCCTGCGTGGTGAGGAGAGAGGCTGGGCAGGGCTCAGCCCAGGCACTGTGAGCTCCCTGCTGCCCTGCTCCCAACCAAAAAAATCCCTGGAGGGGACAGGGGAACCCCACCCAGAGTGGGTTCCTCTGGGGGTGCAGGCACTGCGGCACGGCACGGCAGCCCCTGTGCCGGGTGGTTTGGCACGGCGAGGCTTTGGCTGGCAGGGAGCTGAGGGGTTGAGTCACGCTGCTGCCCGGAGCGGTGCCAGGCAGGGCTGCTCAGCGGGGTCTGTGTGTCCAGGCCACCGCGGGGCTGGTGGCCTCCGGGGGGGATGGGGGGTGGCAGAGACCCGGGCAGGGGGTGTAGGGTAGGGTCGTGCCCCAGCATATGACGGCACCATCCCTCTGTGTTCCCTGCCCCGGGCACCCTTGGCACCCATGGGGCCGGGGGGGGAAACGGGGGGGGTGCGGGTCCTTCTCTAGCTGTCCCTGTCCCCAGCTGGCTGCTGGGCCCCAGGGAACGAGGCGAGCAGTCTCTGGGAGCACGGGCACCCCCCGCCCTCTCCGGCCCACGCACCCACTCGCGCCAGCAGCTTTTGGCACGCAGGGAACTGTGTTCCTGGCAGCCCGGCCCTCTTCCATCTGCTATTTATCTCCTTCCTGAAATCCCTCCTGCTGTGGGGGGGGGATGCCCAGTTCTGGGGGGGGGGAACCTGGGCCCCACTGCTCTCTCTGCAGTGTGGCTGTTGCTGTGCTGGCATGGGGAAGCGTTTGGGCTCAGAGACTGCTGAGGGGGCGGGTAAAGGGATACCCCACCACCCCACAAAAATGCACGTGGGTCCCGGGAGGCTTCACTGTGTGCTCTGGGGCATCACAGCCAGCTGCAGGCCCTGGGGCCAACACCACAGGGGCACCTTTGCCCCAGGCAAGCTCCCAGCCACAAGCTGGCAGCAATGGGGGCCACTTCCCCAGGGAGGGGGAGCATCATCCCCCCGCCCAGCACTGCTGGCTGGCTGGCAGTGGCCTGCCAGCGCTGGCCCCCCCTTTCCCCCCCCCCCCCCCCCCCCCCCCCCCCCAATCCTGGGTGCCCCAAAGCTGCAGGAGCCAGGAGAGCCCGTGGGTTGCCTGGGCAACTGCAGCCAGGCAGTGATGGGGAGCGGTCCAGGGGAGCGGTTGCCATGGAGACTGGAGGAGCAGATTGCCTTGACAACAGTCCTGTGTGTTGTGTCCCCCCTCCCAATCCTCCTCCCTCCCCTCTTCTGGGCTGTATACTAAGGAGGTGCAGCCTGGCCGGGGGTCCCACCACTGGTGAGTGTGCACGCAGGCCAGTTCCCTGTGTCAGGAGGGATGCAGTGGTGCCTGCCCCTGCGGGGGGAGAGCCTCGACTCCCAGCACGTTCCCACCCCCCGACTTAACGGCGTGAAGGAAGAGGCAAGGCCGAGCTCAGCTCCTTGGCTTTATCACTTCACACACCACCGCAAGCTGCTCCCGCACCCGGTCCTGTCCGGGAGGCGGGCAGGGAAGCTGGGTGCAGCGGGGGCTGGAGATGTGGGCAGGCTCCGGGGTGCCCCAGGGCTGTCCTCCTGCTCTAAGAGGAGAGTGGGGACCCTGTGGAGAGGGACAGAGGGATGCTGTCCCCCTCCCCGGGTGGCAGAACAGCTGGTGAAGGAGCATACTTCATTGCTACCAGCCCCTGGGTGCCCCTGCATGGTCTGGGCAGTGGCTATAGGCACACGGATCAGGGAGGGGGAAGGACAACAGTGGCACCAAGATGTGCCACTGCAGGGGGTGTCTCTGTCACCCCAGCATGCCTGTTGTGTCCCACCAGCCCTGGTCTTGCTCCTGCCATCCTCCCCATAAAGCCATGTGCTGGGAAAGCAACCTGGGGAAAAGTCCCGTGTGGCTTTGGGAGGGGGTGTCAGGGTTGGGTAGGGGACACAGATCAAACAGCTGCCAGACAAAGGAGCACCCTGGCACAGGGCAGGGGACTCAGCTCCTCGGCTCAGGCACTGAGTACGTTTCCCCCAAGCCTTCATGTTCAGGAGAAAGACAGACTGGCAGACAAAGGGAGGATCTGGAGGGGCTATAACTCTTCCACCCCTGCCAAAAAACTGATGAAAGGGGCGCACTAGGACCCCTCCGCTCCCAACAGGACTCACACAGCTGCATGCAAGGGGACAGCTGAGATTTCTGCAGGCTGGAGGCTTGGCTGGGCTCACGTAGCCCCTCCCTGGGATCCCCCGGGTGCTCTCAAGCCTGGTAGAGGGGCACCACACGGTCAATGGGCCCCCGGCAGATGGGGCAGAGGCGGGTGGGCAAGGCCTGGAAGCAGCGGAAGCAGCAGCAGATGTGGCCACAGCCCAAGAGGACGCACTCGCGGGGCCGCGTCAGGCAGATCACGCAGGAGTCCTCGGGCCCCCCGTCCCCAGCCTCCTCGCCGTCCGGCTCCTTGTCCTCACGCTGCTGCTTGAGGCGGGCGCGGCGGAAGGCACGGCACAGGGCGTGCAGGAGGACAGCCAGGCCCGCCGCGGCACACAGCACGGCCGCTCCCTTCCAGAGCCCGCTGGCCGACTCCAGCTCCGCCAGCACCGTCTGCCAGTCCCCCAGGCACAGGAAATACTCGCCCCCCTGGGCCGGTGGTTGGAGGTGCAGGGAGCCATCGGGGTGCAGGGCCAGCTCCCCGATGCCTGTCAGCCCGGCCCCCACCCGCAGCATCTCCTCTGTCTCCAGGATGCCCTTGGGCTTCTCCCCGCTCAAGTACTGGCCCAGCAGATCACGGAAGCCATGGACAGGCTGCTGGAACCGCTCATACACCGTCTCCAGCGGCAGGCAGGCGGCGTGGAGCGGGCTCTCCACGCTCACCTGTGTCACCGCTGCGGTGTCTGGCGAGGCCAGCAAGAAGGGGACGGTGTAGACCTGCTCCGAGAGCACCCGCTCGCTCTCGCTCCTGCAAGAGGAGAGTGCAGTGCTGGGATGTGGACAACGTGGAGGAACCCTGAGCTCCTGGGGCTGAGTCAAGGCCAGGGACCAGAGCCTTTAACCCAGCCACTTTCTGTCCCTCAAGTGGCCCCAAAGGATGGGGGGGGGGGGTCTGGACCCACCCACCGGTGCAAGCCCACCCCTGCTATCCCCTCCCATTGCTCACCAGCTCCGGGCCAAGCTGTTCCACATCAGCCGATGCTCTTTCAGAAGCAGTTTCTGGATCACACCCTGCAGGCCCTCATGGTAATGGCTGGTCAGCGCAGCCTTGGCTGGCAGCACTATGCCTAAGGACCAAGGGATGCATCACAGCCAAAGGAGATACCAGCCCCTGTCCCAGTGTGGGGCCACAGGGTCTCCTTACCTTCCAGGGCAACGTACGGCAGGCACCTCCCATCCGCCGCAGACACCAGTGCTGGTAAATCGTCACCAACCTGGAGTTTTGGGGCCTCCTGGAAGAGCAGGGACTAAGTGTGAACATGAGCAGGGGCAGATGGGCTGGCAGGCAGAGGGGTAGGTGCCGCATGGCTTCGTGGGGATCTCTAGCAGGATGTGACCCACGCGGTCCTGGGCATCGTGGCATCGGCAGCAGGCTGGAGTCATTGGCTCTGGGCCGGGAAGTGTAGGGCAGCAGGGAAGGGGCAGTGGACAGGAGAAAGCACCTGGGGGACGGGGCTACCTGTATGCGTGCCACGCCTCTGGCTTTCTTCCTGTACAGGTAGTAGAAGAGGCCGGAGAAGGCGAGGCTGGAGCCCAAGCACAGCAGCTCCACGGGCGTGACGGGTGGCGCGTCCATGGTGCCAAGGGGAGCGTGTGGGCCCAGGGGCTTCCCAGGGCGGGGACGTCCCCCCGGCCCTGTCCCCAGGGCGCTGCCACCCTAGGCCAAGCCTGCCCGTCCCCGTGCCCTGCACCCTGGCTCCCACCGAGGCCCGGCAACCCCGGTGCGGCCCCAGCCCCGAGCTGGGACCCGCTCACGCCGGCCCGGCCCCGCTGCCCCTCCGAGGCCTCAGGCGCCCGGGCCGCGGCCCCGCCGCGCTGCCTGCTGGGAAATGGAGTGCGGGCCCCGCGGCGCGGCGGCAGGGGGCCGCGGCCCCGGAACTACACCTCCCAGCGTGCCTTGCGCCGAACTACAGCTCTCGTCGGGCCGTGCGCCGGCCACAGACAGGACTACAGCTCCCGGCGGGCTTTGCGGCATACCCCCCGACTGCACACACACCCCCCCCCCCCTTCCTTCCCCGTGGGCTGGCGGGGTCCCCGTGTAGCGGCGAGGGTGTAACGGGGAACCCCAATATGGGGCTGGGGGCGCGGTATGGGGAGAGGTGCCGGCCGGGACGGGCTCCAGGCGCTTTGCGGAAGGGGCTCAGCCATTTTCTGGCCCCAGGGCGGGGTGGGGTCAACCCCTGCTGTCACCCCTGCCTGGGGGGGGGGGGCAATGGGACCCCCTTGGCTGGTCTTTCCACGGCGGGGGGTCGGCTCCCGCCTTCCTGTCGCCCCATGTGCCTACTCCCCTCCCTTTGTCCCCCCGAGACATCTCACCTTCCGCCCCCCTCCTGAGTTCCTCGGGATTTCTCCTCGCCCGCTCCCACCCCTCGGCACGTCTCAGCTCCCACATGTCCCCTGGCTTTTGAGTCACCCCCCCAGCCCCGCTCCAGATCCCACCTCTCCCCCCCCACCCCACCACCACCACGGGCCTGAAGAGTAAGTGGAAACTGCTTTTAATTGTTAATTAAATTCAGCGACAGCCACCCACAGCTGAAGGCACCAGAGTCCCCACTGCCGCCCACTGGTCCCAGCAGGGGTGGATGGGGAAGCCAAGCCGGATCGGGAGGGGACAAGGAGAGAGCGGAGCTGGGTGGCCCCCCAGCCTCCATCTCTGGTGGGTTGGGGGGCAGGAACGGGGAGGGGGGGGCTCGGCTCTAGTGCTCTCCCTGGGACCCCTCTGACATGACCACCCGGTGCAGGGGACGCGGCGCTGGGGGGGGGGGGGGTGTGTGCTGAGCTGTGCCTGTCTCTAGCATGTCAGGGCTGGGGGGCAGAGCTGCGTTTTGGGGGTGCTACGGCTTCTCCGCCGGCTGTTCCCGGCCCCTGGCTGTGGATGGGGGCTGCGGTGGGTGCCCGGTGTGGGGCCGTGTGCGCTGGGGATGGGGCCGGAGGTGGGGCGAGGTGGTGTGCGGTGTGTGCACGGGGCAGGGACCGCGATGGAGGGTGACCCGGGAGGTGGCCCTGCGCTCTGCCCGTGGGCCAGGTCCGGCAGCCAGCAAGGGCTGGGGGGGGGACACACACACACACAGCAGAGCATCGTCCCCTCTGTCCCCAGCACCCTCCCTGTCCCTACCACACCTCACAGTGCTTGCCGGGGTTCATGGGGGAGCCCAGGGGGCAGCCAAAATGTTCAACAAAGTCCCGGGAGTTGCTGAGGGTGCCGATGACGCGGTACTTGTCGGGGCTGTGGGGGTCGGTCACCAATCCTTCGTGGGAGCTCTCGGGTGTCCGGACAGAGCACCAGACCTGCCGGAGGAGGGGGGGGGGGGGGGGCAGCCTCAGGGGTGGGGGGCAGAGCCCCCTAGGTGGGATGGAGGGCTGGGGAGGGCTGGGGAACCCACCACCCGTCTCTGCCCTACCTGCGCAAAGCCCACAAAGAACAGCTGGTGGTTGGTGAGCCCCAGGGCTGGCAGGCGCTTCTCCTCCCCGTTCTTCTGCAGCCAGGACTTGTACGCCTGTGGGAGAGGTGCCCTGAAGCCCCAGGGAGGGACAGGCAGGCACAGGGATCCAGGTCCCCTCAGGATGGAGGCACTCACGTTGTAGGCTGCCTTGAGCCCGCCGTTGTCAGCGATGTTCTCGCCCAGCGTCTGCCGGCCGTTGACCTTCTCGCGGTGGACGGTGTAGCGGCCGTACTGCTCCGTCATGCACGCCGTCCGGTTCTTGAAAGCCTCCAGGGAGGAGTTTTGCCACCATGGCCTCAGGTTGCCCTCCTTGTCGTACTCCCGCCCTGCGGAACCGAGACGTGTGGTGGGACCGGGGGATGCCAGCCCCCTGCAGAGCCCCTGCTGCAGGGGTTCCTGAAGCAGGATGGGGTGGGGACAGCCCCAGGGGACACCAGGAGACCTGGTGCCTTGAGTTCATGCCCAGGGGAGATGGTGTCTCCCAGCCCTCGTGCTGCACGGGCTCCAGCTGGGGCTCAGTCATGCACTCGGGCCCCCAGCCATCCCCCCAGTGCATCCCTGCTGTCCCAAGCTGGATTTGTCACCCCAGGTTCCCCCACTGTCCCCATCTCAGCTCTGGGGCTGTGGTGAAGGCGCAAAGCAGAGCGGATGCGAGAGGGACCCGTCCCGCGCCCCACGGGGAGGAGGATGAGGAGGGGGCCGGGGCTGCAGACACCGTGTCCTCACCAAGCGGATGGAGCGAAAGCTGCACAGAGAAGCCGGGGGGAGGTATCGGCGGGTGCCACCTGGGGAGACAGGACGATAGAAGGGGGGGGTGGCCAGGGGGGCACGAGCACGCATGATGCAATGGATAGCAAAGCGGGACCCTCGCGTGCCCAGGGCACCCCCTCCCCACACTGAGGGCGAGGCGGGGGCAAGGAGGAAGGTGATGGGGGATTGGGGCCAGCACTTGCCCACGGGCTCTCTCACCTTGGTCGTCGAACGCATGGGTCAGCTCGTGCCCCATCACCACGCCGATGCCACCGAAATTAAGGGCTCTGTGGGGCCGTGGGAGAGACCCAGGTAAGTGAGGGGGGGATGATGCTGTTGCAGCCTGGCCCGGGGACCCCCTTCACAGCCTGGGCACCCTGTCTGTGTCCAGGGGTACCCGGCGAGACTCTGTGCTGGTTGGCACCCATCTGGGAATGAGTCCTGTTGGGGACACTGGTGGCCCCACGGGGACTTTGTAGCCTGTCTTGGCTGCGGGATGCAAAGCCTTGAGGGACCCTCGAGCCCCCCAGAGCTTTGATTTGTGACTGGGGAGGGCTCTGTGGCGTGCTGGCCCTGATCCAGCCGATACCCCCCACCCCCAGGCTTTTCCCCCCATCCCTGTGCCAGGCTCACTTGGGGTGGTTGCGGGCATAGAAGGGAGCCTGCAGGATGCCGGCGGGGAAGACGATCCCGTTCTTGGTGGGCAGGTAGTAGGCATTGACGGTCTGCGGGGTCATACTCCACCTGGGGCAGGGAGGTAGGACAGGGGACAGGCAGGGATGTGTCCCCCCCTCATCCCCTCACCCTGGCACCCTCCTGTGCCACCTCCCACCATGGTCCCCTCTGCTGACGCTGCTGCCCCCACCCCGTGATCAAGGGACCCTTGGGGACAAGCCAGGGCCACCATGGGTGACCTACAGTGCTGTGCTACCCCATGGGGGCACCTTCTCCCCAGTGAACCAGTGTCACCCCGGCCATGATGGGGACAGTGCTGTGACACCGTGCCAGTGTCATATCCTCTGCTCCCCCCTCCCTGGGCCCTCCCCCTTACTGGTCACGGTTGGGGGGTTTCCGGAGCTGGTCAGCCATCACTTTGGCAGAGAAGTTGTAGAAGTTGAGCATGTTCTGGAAGAAGGAGTCCTCCGAGACCTCATACTGGTGAGGAAAAGGAGGGATGATGAAGGGTCCACCAGGGTGGTTCCCCCCCCCCCCCGGCCAGGATGTGCTCGGTACTGGGGTGGCTCCGCATAGCACCCCGTCCCAAATGCATCCCCCAAATAGGGACATCGCCCCACCATGGGGCATTGTCCCCCCAGGGCTTGGCGTGAGCAGGGGCCAGACGCCCTCCCCATGAGCCAGGTACCCCCTTACCCCATCATAGACATCGTCCAGCTCCTTGTTGTCCAGGATGAAGTCGGGGAAGCCGATCATGTCGTAGATGGCGTCCGCCTGCTTGGGGAGAGGCCCCGGCAGTAAGATGGGGTGGGGGAACTTACCGCGATGGGGGGGAGGTCTCCCGCCCGCTCCCCTCCCCGGGGTGACCTTCTCCTTCGCAGCCTGCCTGGTCTTCTCATCCATCCAGTCCAGCTGGTCCAGGGACACCTCAAATGCCGCGCGGATCTCGCTGATCATCTCCTCAGCCTGGGGAGGGGAGGGAATGAAGCTCCCCCGCTTCCCTCAGACCCTCGGGCAGGGACAGGGTGGGCAGGATGTGACCTCCCTGGGGTTGGGGGTCCCATTTCCCTGCTCCCCACCTTCCATCCCTGGGGTTTAGGAGAGGAAATGGGTGTGGGGGGGTCCTGTGGATGGTGATGGGGGGCAGATGGGGGCAGGAGTGTCCTCACAATGGCCTTGCTGTCCCGGTCAAAGGTGGCTTTGACGAAGAGGGAGCCCAGGGCAAAGCCCAGCGTGTCATCTGTGTTGGAGATGCAGGTTTGCCAGCGAGGCGTGCAGGACTGTGGGAGCAAGATGGGAGCCCGTGAGACCCCCAGTCCCCTTCCTTGCTCCTCTCCCTTCCCCCTGTCTGGCTCTTCCCTCTCCCCAGGAGGGAAATGCTCAACAGCTAAACCCCCATCCCAAAAGATGATCCCTGGGTTCCCTCTGCAGCATCCGGGGCTCAGCATCCCAAGGGCATCCCAAGGGCAGAGGTGATCCTGGAAGCTTCCAGGCTGAGGGCAGAGAGGGCTGGTCCCGGGGCCCCCCGTTACCTTCCTGGTGCCATAGAGTGTCTCCAGCAGCCTCTCCTGGGCTGTCTCGAAGCGTTGGTCCAGGCTGGAGGCTGTCTTCTGTACCAGGTTCCAGATCAGGTAGTTATTCAGGATGCTGCGGGGGCAGAGAGACACCGCGGCTCACCAGGATCCCTGGGGGTGCCCCAGCGAGCCCAAAACATGCCCCTGCCGTAGGGGCAGCCCCAAATGGGGCACGGTGGGGGGCCTGCGGGCACCTCACCTCCTATCGGTGCCGTTGATGAGGTCAGAGACCTGCTGGAGGTAGGTGTCCCCGTACACCACCACGGGCTCCGTGTCTGCCAGCTCCAGTGGGGCCAGGGCGTAGGACAGGTAATCCAGCCAGTCAATGGCAGGGGCCAGGGCCTGGAGGGGACATGGTGACACGGCACCCGGGTGCTTGGCACAGCTCTCCTTATCCTGCCCGGCACAGGGGGATCCCCCAGGGCAGGGGCTGTGCTCCCCGAGAAGGTCCCCAAGTGCCTCACCACCCCAACTCCCTTCTCTGCCCCCAAGCACCCTTCCCATGGCTCCCTGCTGGTGTCAACGCTGCAGGATAAGGAGGGG